TGTGTGTGTGTGTGTGTGTGTGTGTGTGTGTGTGTGTGTGTGTGTGTGTGTGTGTGTGTGTGTGTAGAACTTATGTTGTAAGCCTATTTGCACTGAATTATTTGCAAAAGTGCTGTAAAATCATGTATCATTGCTGTTTATTTATTGGTAGCTGGAAAGGCCAGAGTCAGTCATGGAGTTTGATGCCAGTCATAGAAGTGGAGAGGAGGATGAAGGGAGAGATGAGCAGGGTGAGGAGGAGCAGGAACCACTAAAAAGCAGTGCCAGGTACATGTGCAGTGTGCAGTACTGTGTTTATGATGGGTCTTTGTAAAATGAATTAATATGCTGAGATCTGAGGATTGTAGTATAAATCTAGTCTTTTTGACATCTGAAAGAGGCTGAAAATTCCATAATTTCCCTTCACCGTGTATTTTTCTTTCTTCTGACTGATCTATAAATGAGTTTTATCCAGTGATTATTCACTCTCACTAGCCCGATGATCTAAACTGATTTTAATACCTTTGTGAGTGTTCCCAAATGTGTACAAGGTAAAAATAAATAAAATCTACATCTTTTTTTCACAAAGGAGACTCATTCTGGATAAAAATATTTCACCAAATCTTTCAGGAGAAAGTGAAAATATGTTTGAGGGGAAATTATTGATCTTTTTTCATGTTCTTGTGAAAAAGACTATTTTGGACTAAAATGCKGTGGTCTGAAGAGGCTCCTCCAGTCACATAGAAACATTAAGCCTATATCCACCTCTGCAAGTTATGCYAGTGGCTTTCTGAATTAGACATCTGACTTCTTTTCCAGTGTTAATGAGCTATTTATAATCTTCATTATTACCGATTTTCTTTTCATGCAGATAAAGCTGCACAGGATACAGGGATGGATGGATGGATGGATGGATGGATGGTTCTTATACTTCTTGTCTCAGTTACAGCATAGGTCATAATATAACCCTTTAGTCATTGAAAAAATGTGTAAAATAAGGAATAGAAAATGTAATGCAATGCAAAATGTGAAAAAAGGGTACCTTTTTTCAAGTAGTCAGTAAAAAGGGGTGTGTTTTCAAGGCTATGTCAGTGAAAAGGGTTCAGNGTAGTCAGTAAAAAGGGGTGTGTTTTCAAGGCTATGTCAGTGAAAAGGGTTCAGAAAGTCATGTATGAGGATGGCGCTATGTAGTTAATATAGAGTTGAGCCCCCGGGCTTTCGCCCCCTGTGAAATGACAACCCCTTTCCCTGTTTTATACTAATTTATTTCTCTCATTGTTTATTTGTCCTTTTATAACTAACACTCCCCCTCTTCCTGCAGGATCTTTGTAGTCGGGGTCGGCTTCTTCAGCCTGTGCTTTCTAATGACCTCTCTCGGGGGTCAGTTCTCGACCAAGCGACCCGGAGACCCGCCTTTCACCACTCGAGCTGAAGGTAGGTCACGCATCAGTGGCGCTCGGCAGCCCCGTGGCTCTGGCGGCTGTAACGAGCAGGCTGAAAACATGCTGCGTGGTCCGTGGGGCTGCCCTGATTGCTGCCAGTGGCCCGACAGACCTGCTCACCCACCTCATCAGGAGAACACCGAGGGGCCGCGTCACCTCGAGGGGTTCTCCTTTCTGTACTTGTTCACACCTCTGATGATTTTTTATCACCTTCCTGTCGTGACCGATCCCTGACCTGCGTGGGTTTCATCAGTGTCGGGGCAAAAGCAAATAACATTCTGGTTCCTCCTCTTTACAAAGACTGAGCTACTTGTATTGGTGTGGTAGTAGCTGAGAGTCRTTCMCAACACATACTCCAAACAGATCACAGAAACAAAGAGTTTTACTTTTATTTTTTGAACGAAGAGCAAAATCTTTATTTAAAACAGGGATGGGCAACCTAAATGATGGAAGGGGYCACAATTATTTGTTGACAAAGGGCCTATATTGCTACACATTTACCCAAATGTAATAAAACCACAATTTTCAAAATAATTTTTTATTATACACAGTATATGTTTATTAAACCAACATACAGTGCAGTAACTTAACATTTCACGCCCAAATGCATAAATAACTGAAGGAATTTATTGGGGTTTGCTTATATACTGTTCTTAATTACACTACACATGGTATAGTCTTATTATTAGGAGAACTGTAATACCTGTTAAACATGATTATTTTGAGTAAATTTATGATTTTCTGTAGATACATGCCTGAACACAAATTTAACACATAACTGAACCATTAATCTTCATTAAGTTAGATTATTTCTGTCTGAGGGCATGGCTCCAGCGCTGTGAGGGACCCCTTCCTGATGATGTAATAAAATAGGTGGAGTCATGTCCTGTCCATCCTGTTATATTGAATGAACTGCCGTAAAACGGGGCCTGAACGCTGACTAATAAATCGCCTCCAGACCGAGCAGCTCTATGTGTGGTTGTATGCACTCTTTTCTATTCAATTTCCATGCATTGGTACATTTTCGGTCTGGTTGAAGCACATAAAATAGTAAACTAACATGCTTAACAATATTTTCTTTCATAAAAGCAGCATTCTTGTGTAATAAATATGAATAAAAAATGTTTAAGGCAAATAAAAACACTTTAGTGAGCTGAATTTCAACAACATAAAATGTCTCGAGTGCAGACACCTTGTAGTTCTGGTATAAAGTTGCTTTTATGTACTTGTGACTTCAGTAAATTTCTCGTATTTAGCTTTGTGCAATGTGTTGTAATGGCAACTTCTATTAAAATTCTTCATTGCAGACAGCATCTCTAAGCAGACTAAACACAGGTTKGACTTGGATTTCTGTAAGCAGATAGCTTACCTCCCTTTTCACCTGAAACCCACAGTTTTATCAGTGCACTTTTCTTTCTTCAGTTCTTCTTAACCTTGGTTAAACATCTCTTCCTCTTCGGTAGAGATGTGTACGAGRTGGCATCTGTGTAGGCGCCATGTAGTGGCAAACTTTGTAAATACATCCAATTCAGTGTAGACATTGAAATTTTTATACATTTTTTAAAAATTACTCTAAGAGCTGTTTTAAGTACCGTATTTTCTGAACTATAAGTCACTCTGGAGTATAAGTCACATCAGTCAAAAAATGCATCATAAAGAGGAAAAAAGCATATATAACCACACCTGACTATAAGTCTAACTGATAATAATCAGTTAAAAATTTGTCATGAAGAGGGAAAAACATACATAATATGCATACTATGAAAAAGGTGAGACTTATAGTCTGGGAAATAAATACGGGAGTCCGTATTTATTTATTTTAGGAGATGGCTAAAATGGCCGGACAKTCGTCAGTTTCCCATCCCTGTTTTTAAACTATTTTTTCATTTATTACGTGCCCATGGTATAAATAGATGAATACAAAAGAGGAGTAAATTTATAACAAAGATCAACAGAACAAACAAAATCTTAAATTGAAAGCTCAAAGATTTGCTCATGTTTTGTCTTGATGGTTATATTTGCATCATCATATCCTTAACCCCATATGTTATATGAATTTATCGTGGAACAGATAATGGTGGCACATGATGCGTAACATTTCTAGTTTCTTAATCAGTCAGGCCCAAAATGTATTCTGTAGGATTATTCAACCACTGCTAAACATCTTGTCATCACAGTCATGGGTGATTCTATAACTGGAGATACATTTGGTGTCCAGGATCAATATCTTTGGTCAACTTTGTTGGAAAATTTTCATTTTTAAAATTTTTAATAATTTATTGATTATTTGTATGGATCATAATACGTCACAATTCATAACATTGATATAATTACATTTAAATATGTTTTATATAGTTCAATAAACATAACTTCTTGTTGTCCGAGTTGGTCACTGTTTTCCTCCCATCTTAAAATATGATGCATAAACATTTTTTTTCAATATTTTTTTTAAAAATATGTCAATGTTAACTTTTTCTAACCTGCCTAAATAGTCAGTTATGCAATATTATTGCAGTAAATAAATTAAAACACATTTTTTTCATTAAAAATATGTGTCTGAGAATATTTTGTCAACTCTGTTACCTTATGGTTCTTTCCCTTTAAATTTGTGGAATTACCCTCCACAGATATATAAACTAAATGAAATGATGTCACTTCCTTTTACTGATAGGATCTCTAGCACACAGAGGTATGTCTGCCCTTCTCTGAGAAATTATTTCAATTTGAAAAGCGTTAAAACCAAGTGTAATTTCTTTAGAAGTCAATCTTGTTACCGTAATACAGTATCATAAGAAACACACTATTGATTTTTAACTTATAGATGCTTTATCTAAAGGTTTTTAGACCATGATTTTGTTGGTGACATGTGCTTTTAGCATTTATGCTAGCAAATGGAGTTTTTAACAGAAATGTTTAAAATTGTCAACTCTGTTACCGTCAAACTCTGTTACCAAGGTAAAGTAACAGTGTTGACATCATGCAACTATTGAGTAGTAATTGAACTTAATGAGAACAATTGTATATATGAATGAAACAATTTACTAAATACATTTTAAAGTAATTATTGACTAAATTACAATACTGTGTTTAATATAACCTACATTTTTACTGTAGATATGCCACTCTCAGCTGCTGAGAAACAAAGAAGATCGAGCTAGACGAAATGCTAATACAGACAGAAGAGAGGAGAATTTAGCAAAGGACAGGGAAAGATGGAAACGCAACAAAGAGTTGGCAAGATTCAAGGCCCTGTCACACTAGACAACTTATGCCAACTTATGAAACACGTTTTCATGTCTAAATTGCTAATAAAATTATATATTTGACATATTTGTTCGAATTACATTATTTAGACGCCAAAAAGAAGCTTCCTGTTGACTTTTAAAATTCCATCTTCAATGTAAATGTCTTAAATTCTAATAATTTAGCACAAGTTGTCTAGTGTGACAGGGCCTTCAGATTGGTGGTAGACCTAACACCAAGAGAGAGGAGAAGAAAGCAAAGATACTGGAGAAGAGCACAGGCTGCAAGCAGAGCTAGAAGTGTAGCACAGGGGAAAAAAAATGAAGACCCAGCGCAAATTTCAGAGGTCTCAAAGTCAAACCAGACTTCTCAGTTTTTCTTACCTGAATTAATTAATGTTTTTTTTCTAAATCCAACTACGATGAAATGTTAAGAAATTGTTATTGTCCTATCAATTCTGTTACTAAGGTCAACTCTGTTGCTTCAATTGTCAACTCTGTTTATTAAAAGTTTTTACACACAAAAAAGAAAATCATTGTTTTTAATATTCTATACATTGTTTGTTGACTTTGTCTGTATGATAAATGCACAATTGTTTTTTTTAAATAATCATTGATATTTTAAGAGTTTTAATAAGGAATGTTTGTATGGAGGACCAAACCTATCATTATTGGAAATAAATGTATAAATATATAACTGGCCGAGTGTTCCTTTAAACTAGACCTCGGCCAATAGGCGAGAAGCTGGGGCGGTGACGCTTTTCTTAAGACCGCCTCCTCTGTTTTTACATTCCCTGCTGCATGT